TCATCAAAGCCTTTTCATCTATACAACTGCTGCTCACCCTAGAGATGGTTGTGCATGAAAATACCAGTAGATCAGCAGTTTTTGAAATACTCAGACCAGCCCGTCTGGCACCAACAACCATGCCACGTTCAGTCACTTAAATCCACTTTCTTCCCCATTCTGATGCTTGGTTTTAACTTCGGCAAGTCATCTTCACCACGTCTAAGTGCATAAATGCATTGTGTTGCTGCCATGTGATTGGCTGATTAGCAATTTGTGTTACTAAGCAATTGAACAGGTGTACCTAATAAAGAGGCCTGTGAGTGTATAAATCTTTTCTTAACCTAAGGAGACTCCTAGTGGCCAACCTGGGTGTTACTGCTTAACCCACACAAGGGAGATGTGACAGGCTACTATATGCAGACATTTATAGCTAATTACAAGAATCCTTTATTACAAAAGAGACACATATGTTTCTTCTGCAATAAATAGCCTGCCTATTCATGCACTTGTATATTTTATGTAAAAGGTGCGTTTTAAGTATTTGTGGTTGCAAAGGGGGGATATAAAATAAACCCTGTTCTGTATTAATATTTAGGTTTTGTTTACTAGCTCTTCTGATTCCTCTCTGTAGCAACATGGAAAGAATCTCCCTTCCATAATCCTCTTAATTGTTTGTTCCGGTTTAAGTTTTGATTTTTTTTTTTGTAGAAACATCTGTGATAGAAATGTTGTACTGTGTGTGTATGATGCACAAAAAGGGGAAACATCAGTGCTGGAAATATACACAATAATTTTCAAGCAGATTAACTGATTTCAGATAGCTAAAATATGATTGAATTAATCAAGGCAACCATATCACATTCAAACGCATGATCATTTCAAAAACCCTAAGTGGTTGAAGTGGAAAATAAACAGATCTTCTTGGGGCCTTTTTTTTAGTTCTGAATATAGTGATGAAGGGTCAGAACCCCTGTCAGGTTTTTATTGCTTATAAGAGGGAATCAAGAAAGAAGAAATTTAAAGTGGTTGTAAAGACTGAAGGTTTTTAACCTTCATGCAATCTTTGCATGAAGGTGAAAAAAAAACCTTTCAGTATGCAGATCCCCCTTCATCACCCCTAATACTTACATGAGCCTGATCTCTACCCAGCAATGGGCACAAAAGCAGTATCTCTCCCGGTCTCTCCCTCCTCATTGATTTAGATACAGCATCAGGAGCCATTAGCTTCTGCTGCTGTCAATTACAGTCAGTGAGGAAGGAGTGGGGGGCATGGATTAACTCTGCACTGTGTGTCATATGGACACAAAGACAGGGGGTTAAAAGTGAGAATACACAAGAGCCCCCATAGCAAGCTGCTTGCTATAGGGAAGGGGTCTCCAAACTTTATATACAAAGGGCCAATTTACTGTCTTTTAGTCTTTATTGGGGCCGGACCATGGCCATCGGGAGTAGAAAATGCCCTGGCATCAGTGGGAGTAAACAGTACTGTCCCAGGTCTCAGCCAATGAGAAGGCAGAGACCCAGGATAGCTCAGGCTGTCATTCACATCACTGGATTGCGATAGGGCTCAGGTGGTGTCAGTGAGAGGAATTGTGCCCCATCGATGGTGTTATTGGGAGGAATTGTGCCTCAACATTGGTGTCATTGGGCCCCATTGTTGGTATCATTGGGATGAACTGTACCTCACCATTGGTGTCATTGGAATTGTATCCATTTGATGATGTTAGTGGATGAAATAGTGCCCCAAGGGCTGGATGAAAGCAAGCAAAGGGCCACATCCATCTCCCAGGCCGCAGTTTGGAGACCACTGCTATAGGAGTACTCAGCTGGGGGAAGGAGTCAGGAGCACTGGAGATGAAGAGGTTCAGGGCTGCTCTGTGCAAAACCATTGCACAGAGCAGGTAAGTATGCCTTTTTTATGTACCTTTAGTATCACTTTAAAGCCCAACTCCGGGAAATCTGAAAATTCTTCCTTGCATTGGAGCCACAATAGCACTGCATTGGTTAAATCTTCATTTAGTCTAGGGAAGGGTAAAAGCACTTTAATTTACCTGTTGCTCTGCTTCCCTGGCTACCCCATATACTGTCCTTCAGTGTCCTCACATCTAGTGCAGCATTATGTACCTTAGACCACTGGAGCAGAGGGAGAATACCCATCTAGCAGCACAGAGGAGAGGAGGATTTGGTAAATAAATCTACCCCCTAGACATATACCAGCAATTAACCCTAGAAATGTGGGAGCAACTCCACTGCAGGGGAGTATTTTCAAGTTTATTGGTGTTCATAATAAAGTGAACGTAAAGGATTGTTAAAAAAAACATGGCTTTTGCACAGAGCAGCCCTGATCCTACTCTTTTTGGGTCCCCTGCTGGTGCCCCTGGCTCTTTCCCCCGACGAATGCCCCCGTAGCAAGTTAGCTTTGGGGCACTTGTGCGTGCTCGCTCCTGAGTCCCGCTGTGTGTGTCTATGAGACCACCCCCCTGCTCCCTCCTCACTGGCTCTGATTGACAGCAGCAGGAGCCAATGGCTCTGCTGTTGTCTCTGAGTCTATTAGGAGGGAGAAAGCCAAGAGAGCTGCTGCTCTCATCCACAGATTCAGGTAAGTAATAGAGGGACGGGGGGGGGGGGGGGGGGAAGCTGCATGCAGGAGGTATTTTTACCTTGATGCATACAATGCATTAAGGTTAAAAAAAAGTTCTGCCTTTAGAACAACTATAAATTTGAGTACAGTTTGAAAAGAAAGAAAAACACCTTTCATTGACCCTCCTAAAACCTATTGCACAAAAAAATCCCAAAACCACAGGACAAGCTGACAAAACATTAGATAAGGATACTTTAAAATGAGCGTGTACCTATAACATCAATAGGGATTAAACATGGTAACTGCATTAACTAAAATGAATAATGAGGACAAATAGACTTTTTCTTGTACTTGAAATAAAAGCACTTTAAAGTTCCACTCCTCGATCACAGTATATATACTTCACTGAAATGCTATGTAGCTTTAAGGTTTATGCAGATGGTGGATAATTGCAGGAAAGTCTGTTTAAAGTTGGTACAGAAAAATTCTGTAAAGTACCAGTACTGATACTTTACAAAGCTTTACTCAAGTCAAAGATAACAAGTGATTGGGCAGTTGTGTACAAAAAAAGGTTTTTTTTTCCTAAATATTAGTTTTGGTTTACATAGTCACGATGTTTGATCAGTGTTGATATTACTACATACAGTATACCCGCAAGCTCATTTTAATGTATCCTAATGTAGTGTTTTGTCAATTTCTAAGTTGGATCCTGTGTTATTGAAATCCCCTTTGTGCAAAAGTTTTTTGGATAGTTAATAAAAGGTGTTTTTATTTCTTTTCAAACCATATTCTATTTCAATTCCTTCTTTCTTGATTTCCTCTTACAAATAAATGTTAAAAAAAATCATGGGAAAGGTTTTAAGAGTCATATGATATTTTCTCCAACTACACAGATGGACACCTGCCTAATCATTTCCTTTTCTCAGGTTTTTATTGCTATCTTTATCCACCTTGGGGGGATTTACCATCTCTATTTGTCCTAGTGACCATTGTCACCGGAACTCAAAGTGAGGGAAAATCTCAAATTTAGAGTTGTCACCAGAACAGGAATAGAAAGTGAATCACCCAATGGGCACACCTGTTCCAATGACAACTGTCTAAAGGACAACTGTCCCTTTCATTTCCTGTTGTGTCTAAAGGACTGGATATGAAGGGAAACCTCCTGAATGAAACACAGACAATAAAAACATTTTGGGAAGGGTTTAACCATTCTCTACTATAAAAAAACAAAGAAAACATGTTTTGTCTTTGGATATACTCTAATCACTCTGTGCCTGCGAAGTGTAATGATTCTATTACAAGTCATGAAGACATCAAAGACTTTGCAGTTCACTGTGCCACAAACAATGTTTTCTGTTTTCCCTGCCAAGAGCTGTATGTGAAACCCTTCTATGTTTTTTTCTGAACTCATTTCAACAAAGTCTAGACGTCTTGAAGGGATTGGGAAGAAAAACACACATGGATTGTATAAAAAAATAAAATATTTTATTTTTCATCTAGAAAAGTGCAAACATGTACCTTTTGGTCACACTTCTCAACAAATAAAAATGTTGAAAACAAAAGTACAGTCATGATCAAAGTAAAAAAAAAAACAGATTATCTTAGTGAAAATCATGAACAGTTTCAATTTGAAAAGCAATTGGACATTAAAGCTTAACTGGTATGAAAACCTCCAATATAATTAACCTCACTTGTAACTGTTTACAGTTTTCACATGATAACCTATTTCGTATTCTGAACATCTGTTCAGACGAGTATTAAAAGTACTTATCAGAGATCGACAATATAATAAAAAAACAGGATATCAAAATATTTAAGCATTATAAAAATGAAGAACAGGATCATAAAACAAATTTAAGTTAATTTAGATAACTGTACAAAAATATATATACATTATGTACAATAACTATAAAAAGCAAGATTACAGCATGCGATACAGCATGATGTAAACTTTCCAGTCTTGTAACAAACATAGTTTCCATTCCATGTTACATTATTTTTCTTAGGGTTTGCTGAAAAAAAAAAAATAAGTTGTCCTACAAGGACAACTGTTTTGGCACCATAATTTGGCTGGAATATAAATTCCAGCTGTCACTGAATGGGTGCCATTTCATGAATACTGTATATAAAAATAGTAAGAGCTTTTTTTCCAGTTGCATTACTGGGTGCAAAATACAACATCACTTATACTCAGTGAATACTGCCTTATGACAGTGGATGTACAGCAACATTACATTGCACCCAGCAGAGCTAAGAAGGCCTGGTTCGTCTTCCTTTCTTCAAACCAATGGCTGGTGTCATTCAACGATCAAGTCTTTAAAAGAAAGACTTTCATTCAAACAGACTTAAATACGTTCTTGTGCTATAACATTATGTTTAGCAATGAGATGCAAAAGTAATTTCAAGTGAAACAGTCTTTTGGCGTGGTTCTCTGGATCTATGCCATGTCTCCGTACATTTTTCTGTAGTACATGGATTCGAAGATGTCATTGTCTCCAGGGCAGTTGTAATGACATGCACATGTCTTGATGAACATCATCTTCTTCTTCATGACCTCACCATCAGGACACTTGAACTCGACTGGGAGGGTGGCGGTTCTATGAGGGGTACAGCAACGACCATCTGTACAGACCCCACAAAATTTGGCTCTGTAGGTTTTCACACTTGTGCAGCCAGAAAACTCGAACTTGACTGGTTTAGAGATTTTAGGAGTACGGATGCACTTCTTTCCTTTCTGTATTGGAGGAAAAAGAACCAAATGTTAGATACTGTTTTCCTCAAGCTTGCATTTTCAACTTGGGCATGGATGGGGCTAGTGCATTGAGATTAATAGAGTTTGTAGGTTTATATTTTGATAAATGTAGTATCTTTAAAAGTAGTCTTTTTTATTTTGGCTTATACAATAGGGCAGCAAAAGTGTTCTGATGGAAACTAAACTTTAGCATAACAACATGATTTCAGTCTTTGTATTTATATAGATGAGATTTGGGTTCTGACTACTTTCTTTAGGTTACTATACTTTGTATTTTACCTTAATTAGTATCCCAGTTTATTTACCATACCATTTACATATAATGATTGCATTTCTATGAAGGTAGACTATAATAGAGTGTTGTAGTGCAGCTGTAAAAGGTGTGGTCTAAAATACTGATATTCACCTTGATGTTTTCCTCAAGGTCGGCCTCACAAGGTCTAACCATACAAAGTCTGTTCTGTTTCTCCAGTCTGCAGTGCTCATTGTCATTGGTAACTCGTGTAGAGATGCCCATGCCACAGGTCTTTGAGCAAGCACTCCATTCAGTGGTTTGTACCAGGCAGTTGGCACGCATCAGAGATGGATCAGGACCATATGTCTCTTCCATTCTGAAAGCTGTAAAGAAAAATAAGAACACATAAGATATCATGATGATAACACTATAGCGGAAAAGACTTAAAACATAATCTATCTCAACCTCATTAGTAAAAGTAACAGACTCTTATGTTTACAGCTTCTGTAAAGCAGAAAATAAAGCAGAAATAACTACTGCAATGATTTTTTTTAAGGCTGTTACTGTATCATTTGCTAATAATAATTAACACATTTTCATTAACTGTAAAAAAGTAGTATATGTATTACAACTCACCAGGCAGAGCAGGTCCGACCATGGTTCTCTCCATAGGTTGATCACAGACCCATTCTTCACAGCACTTGCCAGGCAGTTTCACCCTTCTTGGGTATGGGCAGTCAGGGCTGGGAAGACGGACATCCATGCTGCAGAGTGGTACACAGCCAACGCCTCCATCTAAGCATGTGCATTGGTACTTGCAGCTGCTTTGGAAAGACTCTCCACTTCTGTAGACCATGCCTCCAAACACACAGGGGGCACCTTCCCTGGCTAAAATGAAGACAGGACATGATTTAGGATTCATGTGTAGAAGTAATAAACCATAAAATATATTATACTACTAACATTGCTTGCTACTAATAAATAGTATAGAGATGTAATGCTAACTTCAGCATATTCACATAAGACATAAAGAGTTGAGTTATTCATTTTACAACTGCTCTCACTATCCATACTATTTTGAGGTTCTGCTAAGAACACTTACCAGTGCATACTCCAATTTTCCTGTTGATCCTGGAGCCAAATTCACAGAACAGTCCTTTGTGTGGGTCACACACGTCTTTCTCAGTGCAGAGTTCGCCCAATTGCTTGGCACACACTTTACAGCATCCACATCCATCCTGGACCAGGCTAACTCCAGGTGCACATTCAGGTACTCTGTGTGGGCACTGACATTCCCCACTGCAGTCTTGGGCAGCAGACACCTGTAAGGATGAGAAGTGAGAAGTAAGCATGCTGGTTTTTTATATTCATCTACCATTATCAAACTATCAGAATATAAAAATCAAAGGTTGTTTCAGCTCTTCTTGTTAAAGACAAACACAGCAAATGTAGTGCTACTAACAGAATCACTCCCACAAGTTCATATTTAAAGTGTAAAACTAGAGCCCCAGCATATAATACTACATCACAAAACCATACAATCTCTATAGTAGCCACTGACAGTTCAACTCACCCAGCAGAGCACAGCCAAGAGAAGTATAGCTGTCACTTTTCCGGAAGACATTGTTCAGTTTTCTTGCAAATCAAAAGAAAATCTTTTGCCGTTTGCGTTCTCTAGATCTCAAGTTGATCTTGTGTAGTTTCTTGCAGTTTTCTCTCAAGTTAGTTTTGCGCTGAAAGTCTGAAAGCCTCTTTCCTTTGCCCCTGTTTGTTGAGTTTGTTCCTCTTTCAGGCTCTGGAAGAGTTGTTGTGTGAGTCTATCAGCGAGCTGCAGCTCTTTTATATCCTGCTGGATGCTGAGACTCGCCAATGAGCTGAATGGAGTCCTACACAAGCAGGGACATTCCTCGCATTCCTCCCAACCTTCCTGCCCCATCAGCTCACACCGGATTGATCCTGACCCCTTGACATTCCACATTCCTCCTGTCTGAAAAAACTGCACACTCCACAGCACAAAAAAGGCGCTGTATATCCTCACCATCAAATAGGATTTTCTTCTTGCTTTTATATAATTTCCACTCTATAATTTTATATGAAAAGGAGGTTTCAGCCTTGATTTTTTTACAGCTAACCTCTGTTCCAGACAGCGTTTACCATACTCCTTTCATGTTACAATAATCATGTTAGGACACCTCATGGCAAAAATGTAACCACAATAAAAAATACATTCTTCCTTGTTTCATAAGCAACCTACACAGAGAGGGAGGGACGGCTACAGGAAAAGAATGACATTTAAAAAAATCAAATGTATTATTCGTGATGAAAGGAAAAAATGTCTTGGAAACTTATGTAACGTTAATGTTATGAAATATATAGCATGACTTTCTAGTTAGTTTGTTTACCATGGATTTTATTATAATAGCTCTGATCACTGAAACACTTGAATAATAAATAGTATATATATAAATTATAATATATCTAAACTAAAATATAATATATATATATATATATGTGTGTATATATATATATATATATATATATATATATATATATATGTTATTTACCATTCAAGTGCTTAATTGATGAAAGCTGTGTATATATATATATATATACAGTATATATATATATATATATATTCTAATCCCTCTTGTATTGTACTGTATTGTTACTGTACTGTCCATAATGTAAAGCGCTGAGCAAACTGTCAGCGCAATATAAGTCCTGTATAATAATATATATATATATTATTATTATTATTATACAGTATTTATAAAGCGCCAATAGTTGGCTCAGCGCTGTACATTACAATGGGGGACAGAACATGTGACAGAACAATACCAATACAATGCAAAACATGCGGGGATTGAGGGTCCTGCTCTTTCGAGCTTACAACCTAGGAGACAATATATATATTGTCAAAAGTATTGGGACGCCTGCCTTTACACGCATGACTATTCTTCCAGAAACGCATTTGTGAGGTCAGGCACTGATGTCAGACAAGAAGGCCTGGCTCACAGTCTCCTCTCTAATTCATCCCAGAGGTGTTCTATCAGGTTGAGGTCAGGACTCTGTGCAGGCCAGTCAAGTTCCTCCACCCCAAACTCGCTCATCCATGGCTTTATGGACCTCGCTTTGTGCACTGGCGCGCAGTCATGTTGCAACAGGAAGGGGCCTTCCTCAAACTGTTCCCACAAAGTTGGGATCATGAAATTGTCCAAAATGTCTTGGTATGCTGACACCTTAAGGGTTCCCTTCACTGGAACTAAGGGGCCAAGCCCAACCCCTGAAAAAACAACCCCACACCATAATCCCCCTCCACCAAACTTTACACTTTCTAGAGCACGGTACTTGTCTGATTGCATTCGCAATATAATGTATATATGGAATGGGTTTTCATGGCCGAGCAGCTGCATCCAAGCCTTACACCACCAAGTGCAATGCAAAGCATTGGATGCAGTGGTGTAAAGCATGCTGCCACTGGACTACTATTCCATGAAGCTCTCTACACTCTGTTGTTGTGCTGCTAATCTGAAAGCCACATAAAGTTTGGAGGTCTTTAGCTATTGACTCTGCAGGCAGTTGGTGACTTCTGCGCACTGTGCGCTTCAGCATGAGCTGACCCACTCTGTAATTTTAAGTGGCCTACCACTTTGTGGCTGAGTTGCTGTTGTTCTCAGTTGCTTCCACTTTGTTATAATACCATTAACAGTTGACCGTGGAATATTTAGAAGCAAGGAAGTTTCACGGATGGACTTATTGCACAGGTGGCAACCCATCACGGTACCATGCCTGAATTCGCTGAGCTCCTGAGAGCGACCCATCTCATTCACAAATGTCTGTAGAAGCAGTCTGCATGCCTAGGTGCTTGATTTTATACACCTGTGGCCATGGAGGTGATTGGAACACCTGAATCCAGTGATTTGGAGGGGTGTCCCAATACTTTTGGCAATATAGTGTGTGTGTATATATATATATATATATATATATATATATATTCACATTCTAGATGTCATTTTTCCAGTACTGCTTAAAAAATGAAAGCTCATCTATGGTTAACCATGGTAACACGTGTTACATCCATTTATACTCACGTTCACCCCAATGCACTAGGGCAATGCAGTTCCAATGCACATGTGTTGTAGTGCAGCACAACATACAGTAGCACATTACTGTACTTTGTGGTGGACTGTGTTAAAAAAAAACGCTGTATGGCCATTCCTGTGCATTGGCATTACATTCAAAATGAGTTGACTGCCATAGGGCTAGTAACGCTAGTGGCTGAAGGGGGCTGAAACATCGTAGTTGAGCTGCACTTTTACTGATCTCAAATTCTACCCAAATGCTCTCTGAATGCAGATCACTCTTCAGTGAGCAAAGATTGTGTGAATGAGGTATTAATGTAATGCAAATTAATGTGTGACACAATGTTTATTATCCCGCGCAATACACATGATCAGACAAGTGCAAATGGGCCCTTGTACGGAAATGCCCTCACATCTCTGCATAGCTCAGATGCTCATCTATCTGTTTGGAATAGTTTCCTATATTTTTTCCAAAGTATTTTGGGACGCATTATACAACAACAGAAAATAGAAACAACTACAATAGTTCTGGGACATACAACGATGACCTAACTTGTCTTCCCCGATATACACAGCACTCATCTATATATACACTGGGTGCAATGAGGTAATGCATATATATCCACCTGTTGGCAGGCTCTGGTTGCCTCGGTAACCCTGGAAGCTGTCCTAGTCTTGCCGTAGAGATGTCTCCAGCACACCGAAAGTTACAACTCACATAGTTTTCTATAAATAAAATCTTGGGTAGGATGTGTGTAAGGAGGAGAATACAAGAGCACATACCCAGCAGCTTTGCTAATATCTGTTAATAGGTATGATGTCATCCAGCAGTCAGTGTAATAAGGTCATGCTGGGATGTCCCTGCTAAGTAGCTGGAGGCCATTGATTGATAAACAGCTGTTCCCTGTCAGATGGAAGTAGAATAGAAGGGAAGAACATTATATTTATACTTTCTTCTGCTGGAACACAGAACCTGATGCTCTGTGTCCTGATACAGCAAATAGCAGTTTGATGTAAGTTTAATTTCAAATTGACAGATATCAAAACAATAATAGTGAGATTAAAAAACATTTCAAAAGGAGGTGCTTCCAGCGGAAAAGAAATTGCTTATCCGGAGTCACGTTCGAAAAATGACACAAAGGTGTTAATAGTGCTATGTAGGAAAAGAATTCTAAAACTGCTCTTACATTCCTTGTTCATCCAGCATGAACTTGGACAAGAGCAAAGTATATAATACAGTGTATGTTTATATATATATATATATATATATATATAGCTAAAAAAAATATATATATATAAATAATATATTTTATAATATATATGTATATATATAAATAAATAGATAAAAAAATAAATAAATATATACATATACATATATATATATATATATATATATATATATATATATATATATATAATATATAAAGATATCCAGCATGATATTTTTCCCCATTGAAATCTTATGTGTTTTCAAAGTGTTCAGTGTATATATATATATATATATATATATATATATATATATGACACACACACTTGTGTCCGCTTCCCATAATTTCATATACAGCCTGGAAAACACCTGACCTTTTACCCCTTTCCACTCCATAGATACACACATTTACTGTTCTATAAGGAAATACGTAGTTGTCATACAAGTCAGTAATGTATGTGTCAGAAGGTCTAATCATGCGTCCAGCGACATTCACCCTTGCCATCATGGCCTGTTCATTCACTTGTCTGCTGACCCCAACCATACTGCATTGTTTGCAATCCATCCAATTGCTGAGGTCTTGATTCTTGCTGGAAATTAGGCCTCTGTACCATGTATATTCTATTACACTTCATGGACATAAAACCGAGATAAAGGTAACTATGAATGGGGTTTGAGTTATACTGCATATGGGCTGGCTGCATAGTTTAATGTTTTGAAGTACAACAGTTCATTGGAACATGATGCCAAGAGGGCATGTTATAGCACATTATCTCAGTTGGTCACTTTATACTGGGGGGCCATTTAATTACATCATGGGAACGAGCACAACATTACTCATAACCCTATCCGCAGGTAACATACAGACAGGGTCATGCACTGATGACATCACACCATAGATATTTTATTCTGCCTAACTGGCTTACAGATGTTTCCAGCCTTACCCCTCTGATGGGTTTCATCCCTACTGAGCTTTTGAATTAAGCCCTATAGGGGTGAAATGTATCAAAGGGATATGGCCACAGGTGGGAACTATCAGTGAGCCAGGCAGGCAGAATAAAATATCTGTTAGAACATCCTCACTGTACGCCCGTCTGGATGTTTGCTGCTTGATGATGACAAGCAGGGTTGGGCTTCCTGAGGCCGGCAACTGATATACTGCAGACTGGAGGGCTACATCAATGCTTTGAATGGCAATTCTATCTGCAGTCTTCATTAACAGACACCTAGAATGTGCTATGTAAGCTGATCATTCTTCTCACCACTGCCCCTTCTGTAGAGCTAGAGATGAGTAACATTTCATCGACTTTGAACACAGCTACACACGGTCAGTCTGGGGCAGAAGAATTATCCAGCAATATTATTCTAAGACCTGTTTATATCTACCATAGTACCTGTCACCCTGCAGATCCTCCTCATATTATATGCTTTTACATCCCACATATTTACACATATATTAACCTTATGACAACCCTCCAGCACACTGTTCCCCTTCTGGGGTTTTTGGCCACATACATCAGCAGCACACTAAACGTCCCCATCCCATCTTGGATGAATGTAACAAAAACTGATGACCTGCAAAAAAAAAACAACCTCCAAAGACTGACAACTATTTGTGGCTTAAGTAGCTCAAACTGCAGGCCACTACAAGGCTAACATGCACCAACCTTTGACTCCTAAGCACCTATCATGCTACCAGAAAGACCACCACAACCCACTCACTTATGATGACTCATGGGCAGATTCATATGGAATTTTTGACAGTTGATGCTTTTTTTTAGTATAGTGATGGCCACTGACAATCCTGTGATATGGGGCAGTATTCTCCCATTTTCAGTCACATGCAGAAATCAATACAAGAACATACATTTTCTTCAGACATAACTCCCCCCCCCCCTCTATGTTTTTTCTTTTTTTCGATCTCACCAAATGGACACAAGGTTGTTACATATAATGTATATTTAGTATGCATAGGGAAAATGTTGAGTAAAGCTTGCAGTTCTGTAAAATACAATACCTTCAGTTATTCCATTCCCGAAGATGTCATAATTAATGTACAGTAATTATGCACATACAGAATTAACCCAACATTCTTTGCGCAGACTTTAGCAATTAGAAAAACAGACAATTATGCTGGGCTAGGCATTTAATAGCCTTCTGTAAAGGATTACCCGTTCCATTTGTATGAAGTTATTTTAGGGTGTGTTCACAGTAAAATGTGCTTTTTCCACTGCAACACTAAACCATATAAGGAAACCAAGGCTATATTAATACAAGGTTCAAGATGTTGTATGGAAGACACATGAAAGAGTTAATGTCTTGTGTTCCCGACTTTCATGCAGGTGTTTATATAAAGAATTCCTTCACCAGCGCATATTTTTTTCTGGTAAAATACTGAATTTAGCTCAGTTGGCAGCACATGTATATTTACACAGATATATACAGTAAGCTTACATCTGCTTCAATTGCAGCAGCGAGTTGAGTCGGGTCTTGTAAATTGTACAGGTGGAGATCTTACTGCATTCCTTCCCTTTAAGTTTTTTCCTGCGTTTTCAAAGTCATTTGATCAGGTATCAGACATACTGTACTGAAAAACTGGACAAACTACAGGAAAGTGGCTAGACTAGAAGTGTTTGTGTACTTAAAGAAGGAATCTTGCACATTTTCAGCTTTCAGTCACAGACATTTTCTTATTAGAGCAATTGAAGGTCTGTGCCAGCCCTCAAAACGGAAATCAAAAGCTCCCAGAGAAACATACCTAAGGAATGCAAGACTTTAGCCAAAAGCTGTACGCAATGCACAGACAGAGGAAGTCTGGCCCTATATGGAGATTTGCACAGTGTGCTATTTATCTCGGTGATAGCCCAGACACTTGCTGAACCAGGTACTATTTCTAGCTGGATTAAGCTTTTCACAATGTCTAGAAAGAAACTGTATTTTGTTCCAGGGAGTCGTTTTTGTTTGAATCCTCCTTTTCTGTACTAAAAAACAAAGTGGAAAACCTAGGGTATTAGTAACATCCAAATGTAACAGTTCTATATACCTAAAATAAACCTCCCAGTAGGCGCTGCCATTGCTGACTTTCTAAAGAAGCTAGTTGCCTGATTTTTAAACTGATCCATTGGCTTCAATACTTTGAGTCATGAACTTGGTAAAAGAAGGCATATTAGGAAAGTCAGAAGGTTTTATCTGTATCCATGTACATGACATTCAGAGAATTAGTATTGGCACAAATTGAAGCAGCAGTGGTAGCTTCCATATTTTTGTTTTTCTTAAGTTTCCTTCACACAGATGGCATCTGTTCCTGATTAGCAGGGGACCCCTAGCTGAATTGGAGTAGAATGGAACTGATGACACTTTAGTGACGTTTGCGTCTGTTCAGTTTTTTTTCTTCCATTGTGTGATAGAGGGAAAAATGGAGCTTAGCTGACCCATGTTAGGTCTATTGGCAGGTGCATGTAAACCAATATGTGTCCATTGTCATTCTTTACCTCACTTCTAGGTCTGAAAAATATGAAAACGTAAGTAAACTTTTTCTGTTTGTTTAATTATTTTTACATCTAGGC